TTTTGGCGCCTGGTTATCGGCCGTTAATTCGGTTATCGGCCATTTGGGAGGCGTCCATCTGCCGGCTGGGGCCGCTTGCGAGTCAGTTTGGCTTTGTCTCTGGGCTCATTCATCCAGACATTTTGCTATATTCCATTGTTTTTCGTGGTTATTGATTGAGTACAACTGCAAAATAAGCAACCATGGGCCCAAAGAAACACGTTACATAGTATATGAAAACATGCAATGTTTATATGCGATGTATATTTAATAATAATCACTGGTACATTAAATGTCTTACTTTATGTTAATATAGACATTTTCATTAATCCATCTGTTATATCTTCTTCAAAATTATATAACAAACATGTTATATAACATATAAACATGCAATGTTTATTATATGCGATGCATATTTAATAATCACTCTGCCACATTAAATGTCTTATTTTACGTTAACCCTTTCAGGGTCCATGCCGTAGATCTATGGCTTTACGGTCAGGGTCCAAACCGTAGATCTACACCATGAGCTTAGCTCACTCTGATAAGCTGTGAGTGGTAAATTTGGGCCTAGATGAGTGAATACATCTATGTGGATTGTGTGCACCACATAAAACAAATCCTGCAGCACACAGTGTATAATGAGAGAAAAAAACTGAGACCGTGATTTTCGATTAAAACAGCAACTTTGCAGTGTTTTTTCGTATGTTTTTTATAGTTTTATTTGTGATTTCTTGGTCTCATTTGATAGAATGGAAGACATATTACAGAAGTAGAGATGATTTTGGTTGGTTTTAGCACTGGAAATGGCTTGAAACTGAGCTCAAAGTGGAGGAAATGTTAAATTTTTGCTGATGTTCAAGTAAAAACAAACGACCTCACACGTCTAATACACACCAGCTGGTGGGTCTAATATACATTCACAAATGTGGTGATGATATTTATACAATTATTACTATATTGCATAACAGTAAATCTTCTATTTTTTGGTTTGAATAAAAATTCATTATGTGAATAAAAAATAAAAATGGAATTCGTTTGTAAAGCCTCAAAACATAACTAATGAACAGAGGAAATGTTAGTTTAGTGCCAGGAATGCCTACATTGTTTATTCTGGACCCTATTTTGAAATTTGAATATTTTGAACTTTGTGTTGAATTGGTCAAATTACCAATTTACGATCACTTTATTTTGTAGTTGAAACAGTTGACTTGGCGATTTCTTGTGCTCAATCGATAGAATAGAAGTAATACTAGTGAAATAGCTAAGAATTTGGTTGACTGGAATAATATAATTGGCCTAAAATGGGAGTCAAAGTCGGCAAAATCGCCGATTCGTAAATATCGCTGACACATCAAAATTCGTGAGAGCATAATTTCGTAAATTTTCCAATCAAATTTCATTCTTTTTGTTTTATTACCTTCAGAAAAAGATTCTCTACCATTTCATAAGAAAAAATAAAAAAATTTGGGGAGGAAAATTCTTGTACCCTGGTGTGCACTTTGAAATTTGGCCTCTGAACCCTGAAAGGGTTAATATAGGCATTTTCATTAATCTATCTATGATATTTTCTTCAAAATTATATAAGAAACACATTACATATCATGTAGCATATAAACATGCAATGTTTATATGTTATCGAGTGGAGAGTGGGATGGAGAGTAAACATTGTTTTTTCTGATGCAGCGTTAGAGAAAACTGTTAATCTGGCAACTGGTGCAGTAACTGCTTTTCATATGCGTTTGTTTACAATTCTTGGCATGAATTATTCATTACTTCTCCCTTTGTTTATGATGGCATCTAAAAGTAGTTGTTAGAAATGATTAAACTCAGTGAACATGGTAATAATATGGCTGTGTAGTGTAATAATATGGCTGTGTAGTGTAATAATATGGCTGTGTATTGTAATATAGCTGTGTAGTGTAGCCCGGGGGAGGGGGCTACATACGTGTACTGTACTTACATCTACTGCTACCTACACTGACTTCCTACAAATAAATGCCACTCACCTCTTGCCCTACACTAAGACTACAAATATTTTAAGGTTAGTAATGAATGTACTGTAGCAGTAAATGACAGGTGTATGCAGTGTGGACCAGGGTGCAAGCTTTTGTAGAGAAACACCACCCTGACCAAGCTGAAACAAGCCATATCTGCAACATGTTCAGTGGCAAAACCTGTCCCACTTCAGGGAAATCTTAAAGAGATGTCAGAAACAGACCTCTATGGACAGATTTGTTGTGAGACAGGGGTCCAGTGACTCTCAAACTGGTTCTAGTAGCATTAAAAGACAAAGAAGGGAAGTAACCCCAGAGAAGGCTTTGCTACCTAAATTCCACATCTTTCTCAAATACCCTGGCATTCATTTCATTTACAAATATAGTGGCATCACACACCTCTGTCTAAGATTTGTTTTTACTGGAAAACATTGCCATGGGAGGGGCATTCCCCTTCCAAACACTAACTCCTCCCTCTTTCCTCCTCCCTATCTTCCAGAAGCCAGCATTAGCCTTCAATAAAGGTATGTAAAACTTACATAATTGTTAAAAAAAATTATTTTTTTGTGAATATTTTTGTCTGGAACAGATTAATTGTATTTCCATTAATTCTTATGGGATATATTAATTCAGTTTTCGGCCATTTCGGTTATCAGCCGATCTTCTGGAACGGATTACAGCCAATAACCGAGGGTCCACAGTACTGGGGTCAGGAGACCTTGGGCACTTCATCAAACCATATTCATTACAAGTGGACCCTGCTTTAACCCTTTCAGGGTTTTGGCCGTACTAGTACGGCTTACATGCCAGGGATTTTGATGTACTAGTACGGCTTACATGCCAGGGTTTTTGACGTACTAGTACGCATAAATTCTAGCGCCCTCAAATCTAGCAAGAGAAAGCTGGTAGGCCTACATATGAAAGAATGGGTCTATGTGGTCAGTGTGCGCAGTATAAAGAAAATCCTGCAGCACAAAGTGCGTAATGAGAAAAAAAAAACTTTCACCATGTTTTTGGTTTAAAACAGCAACTTTGCACTGTATTTTTGTACGGTATTTATTGTTGTATTCTAGTTTTCCTGGTCTCATTTTATAGAATGGAAGACATATTACAGAAATTGAGATGATTTTGACTGGTTTTACAATGAAAAGTACCTTGAGCCCAAAGTATCAGAAATGTTCGATTTTTACCAAAGTTCAAAAGTAAACAAATCATGCAAAGTGTCCAATACACGTCAACTGGTGAGTCTAGTATTCCTTCACAAGTGCACTGATATTATTTATACTATTTCTACACTAATGCAGTAGCCTGCATAACAGTAAATCTTATTATTTTTTGTGAGAATAAAAAATCAAAGTGGAAAGCAAAAGAAATGTAAGAGGAGCCTGGGGACATGCCTAATGAACAGAGGAAATGTTATTTTAATGCCAGAAATGTCTTTCTTGCTTATTCTGGACCCTATTTGGAAATTGGCATCTTTTGAAATTTGTGTGAAATTGGCAAAATTTCTAAATTCTGACCACTTTGTTGGATAGTTGAAATCAGTAAATGGGTGGTTACTTGTACTCATCCGATAGAAAAAACGGAGTTCTAGCGAAATAGTTACGATTTTTGTCGACTAGTAGATTGGAATTGGCCGAAAATAGGGCTCAAAGTGGGTAAAATCGCCGATGCGTAAACATCGTCGAGACCGCTAACTTCGCGAGAGCATAATTCCCTAAGTTTTCCATCAAATTTCATACTTTTGGTGTCATTATGATCGGGAAAAGATTCTCTATCTTTTCATATGAAGAAATAATTTTTTTTTTTTTTTGGAAATTTCGGCGACCCTGAGAACAAGTCGCTGAGAGGGCCTGGCGACCCCCCAAGGGTTGATGCAATGGTTTTCAATTATACCCATTCTTCATTTATTCTGACTTCCTTAAATAAATATATTCACCACTCACTATAAGATAAGGAATATATTTTATAGTAAGTAATGTGTGTAGTGTATATGCATTTTTTTAAGGCCTAAGTCTGTTGCTTACTTAACCCTTTGACTGTTGCAAGCCCCTTTCTGAAACTGTCATTCTATGTCGCAAATTTTTTTGAAAAAAAAAAAATCTCGTGAAATGATAGAGAATCTTTTCCCGATGGTAGTGACATCAAAAGTACGAAATCTGGTCGAAAACTTAGGGAATTATGCTCCTGCGAAGTTAGTGGTCTCGGCAACATATACACACCGGCGATTTCGCCAACTTTGATCCCTGTTCTTGGCCAATTCCATTGTTTCAGTTGACCAAACTCATAGCTAGTTCTTCAAAACTCCATTTTTTCTATCAGTTGAGTACAAGAAACCGCGCATTTACCGATTTGAACTACTCAATAAAGTGGTCAGAAATTGGCAATTTGGCCAATTTCACACAAATTAAAAAAGATGCCAATTTCAAAATAGGGTCCAGAATAAACAATGTAGACATTCTTGGCACTAAAATAACATATCCTCTGTTCATTAATCACATCTCTAGGCCCCTGTTATATTACTATTGCTTTCTATTTTGATTTTTATTCATACAAAAAAAAATACAAAATTTACTGTTATGCAGACTACTGCATTATTGTAAAAATAGTATAAATAATATCAGTGCACTAGTGAAAGAATATTAGACTCCCCAGTTGATGTGTATTGGATGTGTGGTGTGATTTGCTTACTCCTGAACATTGGTAAAAATCAAACATTTCTGCTATTTGGAGCTCAATTTCAAGGTCGTTTTCTTTGTGAAACTAATCAAAATCATCTCCATTTCTGTAATATGTTTTCAATTTTATCACGTGAGACCATGAAAACGAGACTACAACGATAAATACTACATGAAAATACACCTCAAAGTTGGCATTTTAATCCAAAAAAACGGTCAGTTTTTTTTTTCTCATTATGCACTGCGTGCTGCAGGATTTTTTTTATGTGGTGCACACTGACCACACAGACCCATTCTCTCACATGTAGGCCTACCAGCTTTCTCCCGCTTGATTTGAAGCCGCTAGAATTTATGCGTATAAATACGTCCGAAACAGTGGCGCGTAAGACGTGTATATACGACCAAAACAGTCATAGGGTTAATATAGATAGTGAAAACATGTTATCAGCCTTTTATATGCATTTGAAAGTGAGAAAAGGCTATGATTTTCTTTACAGTGATTTTGGCCTTATAGCAGCAGCCTGGAACCTGACCTACTGTATAAGCAGGACTCTCTGGTACTTAGTCGTAAACAGCAGAATTGTGTACTTGGTGTAGATGCTGTATGTATGAGTATTTAGTTAACTTGTGTATATTGTTACATATATTGATATATCTTTGCCTACCTATAATTTTGACTAGCTTCATAACAAATGTTTAACTAAACATTAGAGAAATTTCATATTAATTGAAGTTATGTTAATCTGATTTTTTCCCTTTTTTTTTTTTTTTTGCAGCTCATGCAAGCTCTAGAGGACTAGTGCTTGCATGCACTGATTATGATGCAAAGCTCATGAAAACGCCAGAAATATTGAGTGCCATATATCACACTACAATGGCAGGACTAACATGTGTGTGCAGTTAATGTTAAGTTTGAGAAAGCTCACTCTTCCCAGCATTTTTTATAGTAATATGCAATCCATGATAATTTTTTTTTTTTTTTTGATTGTTTATTATACGAGAGTCAGCCTCAACATTTTGATATCATGCATACCATCGTAAGGCTGTAAACACAGGTTTGCCCGATTCAAATCTTACAATGTGCAACATAGTTTTATAATTAAATATTATTGTCATATACAGTGTGTGAATGTTCCAAGTATCAAGTATTTACTGGTGATATTGTCTGTGAAGGTACTCTGTACAAGTAGTGTCTCATTCCCTCACCTCAGACATGAATATCATTTTCCATGTGTCTCATTTCCCCACCAGATAATTTATTCACATTTTCCATTATGCTATTAGTCATATTCCTCCACAACATATCCTTTACATTACAACTAGGTTCTTCATAAAGCTTTCATGTCATTCCATCAATGTTTTCCATTGCATAGCAAGTTTCATGCCTTGATATTTTTTATTGAATGTTCACATGTACCATTTAAATGCTGTCTCATTTAATCTGAACTTATATAATGTGTGCTTATGCTCACTTTAAGAAGCATCTTTGTGCAAGTTCTTGGAAGTGATATTCTTTTGCGAGTCAATTATAAAAAATTAAGCATTAGAGATTTTGCACAACAAAAAAATGATTGCTCACTGTTCAGAATTGCTTGAATTTAGTATATAATAAGTATAACAGAATCTATTTTTAGGTTTTGTATCTTTAAAATTTTTCCTATAAATTTTCATTTGTGACCCATAATTTTACAGTTCCAAAGGCTCTTCACATGTATAATGATGGGTGTACAAGTGTTCATGTATAATGATGGGTGTACAAGTGTTCACGTAGGAGATATATTTCAGTATTCAGAGTGCCTTCTCAAAATGTTTCCAAGTATATCTTGAAAATATTTTTTTGCTAGTAAAAGTCCACTGCAGTTTAGTAGAATATTTATGTAAAAGAAAACCTAAGTGTTATAGCTAGTTCGTTTTGATAAAATAAATTTGAAAATTTAGCAAGTATCCAGTGTCGTAAAAATCTTTTTTAGAAGATCCACATCAGTATTAATCTCCTCTGCAAGCAAATATGAGAGCTCATAGAGCTAAAATACCTTTTCAGTGTTCAACATGTTTAAAGGACTTTTCAGAAAAAGGTAATCTAGTGAAACATATGCGAGTTCATACGGGAGAGAAACCATACCAGTGTTCACAATGTCTAAGAGAGTTTTCACAAAAAGTTCATTTAGATGCACACATGAGAACTCATACGAGAGAGAAACCATATCAGTGCTCACTCTGCCAGAAAAACTTTTCCGACAAAGGTAATTTAGTAACTCATATGCGAGTTCATACAGGAGAGAAACCCTATCCATGTTCCATGTGCCAAAAATCTTTTTCAATTAAATCATCGTTAGTGAAACATATAAGAATTCATACAGGAGAGAGACCATTCAAATGTTCTGAATGTCCGAAAGAATTTGCTGAAAAAGGTAAGCTAGTGAACCACGTGAGAATGCACTCGGGGGAGAAACCGTATAAATGTTCAGAATGTCTGAAAGCCTTTACACAAAAATCTATTTTAGTAACACACATGAGAACGCACAATAGAGTAAAACCATATCAGTGCTCTAAATGTTTAAAAGCATTTGCTTTAAAAAGTTTACTGGCAAGACATTTACGGGTTCACGTAGAAGAGAAGCCATACAAGTGCTCAGTGTGTCTGAAAGCGTTTAAAGAAAATATAAATTTAGCAAAACATACTAGAGTTCATACTGATGAAAAGTCATATTACTGTTCAGTGTGTCTGAAAGGTTTTACTGAAAAGAGTAAGGTAGCAAGGCACATGAGATTCCATAAAGGAGTGGAATCGTACCAGTGTTCGATATGTTTACAGTTCTTTTCTGAAAAAGATGAATTAAAAAGCCATTTGAATATTCATACAGGAAATAAACCATTTCAGTGTTCAGAATGTCTTAGAGAGTTTACGCAGAAATCTGGTCTTGTAAAACATATGCCAACTCATACAGGAGTGAAGCGTTATCAATGTACAGTGTGTCTGAAAGATTTTAATGAAAAATGTAATTTTGTAAAACATTTGAGAGTTCATACAGGAGAGAAACCATATCAGTGTATGGTATGTTTTAAAGCTTTTTCTGATAAAGGAGCTCTAGTCATACATTTGACAGTACATACAGGAAATAAGCCCTATTTGTGTTCAGTATGTCTGAAGAGGTTCTCAGTAAAAGATAGGCTGGTACGCCATTTGAGAGTTCACACAAAAGAGAAACCTTATAAATGTTTAGAATGTCCGAAAGCCTTTACACAAAAATCTATTCTAGTAGTACACATGCGAACTCACACTGAAGAGAAGCCATATCAGTGTGTAGAATGTTTAAAAAACTTCACAAAAAAGACAAATTTAATAATACACACCAGAGTTCATACAGGAGAAAAACCATATCAGTGTTCAAAATGCCATAAAAGATTTATGCAGCAGTCTACATTAATAAAACACATGAAAGCTCATTCAGGTGACAGACCATATCAATGTACAGAGTGTCAAAAATGTTTCATTTATAAATCTAATCTAATGAAACATGTTAAAGTTCATCAAAGAGTAAGCCCCTATCAGTGTTCAAAATGTTTTAAAGGATTTACAAACAAAACTGCATATGACATGCACATAAGAGTTCATACAGGAGAGAAGCCACTTAAGTGTTCAAAATGTCATGAAGAGTTTGTAGAAAAATTGGCTTTAGTATCACATATGAATGTTCACAGAGGAGACAAACAGTATCCTTGTGTTGTGTGTTTAAAAGGCTTCTCAAACAAATATTCTCTAATAAAGCATCTGAAAGTTCATTCACAAGAGAAACCATAACATTGTTTTGTGTTTTATAAGTCTTCAAATAAACCATACAGTGGACCCTTGGGTAACGGCATTAATCCATTCCAAAATCGGTTAAAGGCTTGCCTTTAACCGATTTTGCCATTAGCCAAATTAATTTTCCCCATAAGAAATAATGGAAATCCAATTAATCAGTTTCAGACACCCAAAAGCATTACCCAAAAATATTTTTTTTAAAGATTAACCCTTAAACGGTCCAAACATATATATACGTTCACGCGCGTAGCGCCCCAAACGTTTATATACGTTTTCTTTGTCATTCATTCAACATTGCCACAATAAGCCTGAGTCACCTAGACATGAGAGAATGGGTGTGCGCACTCACTGTGTGCCATATTAAAATAATTGGGGATGCCTGGGTACCATATGCTCTTTTTTCCTTTTAAAAGAAAAGATTTTTTTTTTCCTCAAAAAATTTGAGACGCTACGCGAGTGAACGTATATATACGTTTGGACCGTTTAAGGGTTAAATATAGATATACATACAGAAAACAATGACAAATAAATATAAAGCACAAATAAAATGGATAAATGAACATTTAACATCACACTTTCCTTTATTGACTCTTGTTGGTGTATGGAAGACAAGTAGAAGGCGAGAGAGAGACGAGTTTATTATGCTTCAATATGACACTATTATCAAATCTATGACTTATTTATCTATCACAGTCCATCTAATATGACATAATAAACAATATTAATGACATAGAAACATGATATATACTCTAGAATGAATAAAATATGTCATAATGTATGTGAGGAGTATGTGGTAGAAGTGTTGTTGGGTTTATAAGGGCCACTGACAGAAGCCGTAAATATTAGTGGTACAGGCGGGAGCAGAACCCACCAACACTGTCACACTTTAACAATGTATGTAATTTATAAATAAGAAATATTTACATTTTAATTTATAAATAGGAAATATTTACATTTTAATTTATAAATAAGTAAATAAGTTTATTCATTTATACACAAATGCAGTTACATAGATTATCATAAATAGCAGTATATGTATAAAGTACCTAGCATAACTCCAGAAAGTCAGATTGACTTATTTCCATTGGGGTCCCTTTATATTTACACTTATACACCTACCATCCGACTTACGACCTGCTCGACTTACGACCACTCTACTTACGACCATGTTTTTTATGCCAAATTTCTGGGAAATAAACAACTATTTGTGTTGTACACAGTGTTTATCCTAAACCTTACAGTATAAAATACAGTACTAACAGCATAAAAAGTAAAGTAAAACATGAAATACCAAAATAAAACAATAAAATAAAGTCATTACAAAAATGTTTTGTTGATATTCAGAAGTAAAGTTCGACTTTCGACCATTTCGACTTACGACCGGTTTCTCGGAACCGAACTCGGTCGTAAGTCAGATGGTAGGTGTATTTACTTTTCCTAGGTAGTAGGTTGGTAGACAGCAACTGCCCAGGGAGGTACTACTGTCCTGCCAAGTGAGTGTAACATGAAAGCCTGTAATTGTTTTACATGATGGTAGGATTGCTGGTGTTTTTTGTCTGTCTCATAAACATGCAAGATTTCAGGTATGTCTTGCTACTTCTACTTACACTTAGGTCACACTACACATGCATGTACAAGCATATATATACACACCCCTCTGGGTTTTCTTTTATTTTCTTACTAGTTCTTCTTTATTTCCTCTTATCTCCATGAGGAAGTGGAACAGAATTCTTCCTCCGTAAGCCATGTGTGTCGTCAGTGGCGACTAAAATGCCAGGAGCAAGGGGCTGGTAACCCCTTCTCCTGTATAAATTACTATAGCTAAAAAGAGAAACTTGTTTTTCTTTTGGGGCCACCCTACTTCAGTGGAATATGGCTGGTTTGTTGAAAGAAGAAGAAAGATATTTACTTTTATACTTACACTTTTATATTTACACTTACCCATCAGTTACACAACCCAGGGCAACATGGGTTTAGAACAGGTCGCTCCTGCCTGTCTCAACTATTGGACCACTACGACAAGGTCCTAAATGCACTAGAAGACAAAAAGAATGCAGATGTAATATATACAGACTTTGCAAAAGCCTTCGACAAGTGTGACCATGGCGTAATAGCGCACAAAATGCGTGCTAAAGGAATAACAGGAAAAGTCGGTCAATGGATCTATAATTTCCTCACTAACAGAACACAGAGAGTAGTCGTCAACAGAGTAAAGTCCGAGGCAGCTACGGTGAAAAGCTCTGTTCCACAAGGCACAGTACTCGCTCCCATCTTGTTCCTCATCCTTATATCCGACATAGACAAGGATGTCAGCCACAGCACCGTGTCTTCCTTTGCAGATGACACCCGAATCTGCATGACAGTGTCTTCCATTGCAGACACTGCAAAGCTCCAGGCAGACATCAACCAAATCTTTCAGTGGGCTGCAGAAAACAATATGAAGTTCAACGATGAGAAATTTCAATTACTCAGATATGGTAAACATGAGGAAATTAAATCTTCATCAGAGTACAAAACAAATTCTGGCCACAAAATAGAGCGAAACACCAACATCAAAGACCTGGGAGTGATCATGTCGGAGGATCTCACCTTCAAGGACCATAACATTGTATCAATTGCATCTGCTAGAAAAATGACAGGATGGATAATGAGAACCTTCAAAACTAGGGAGGCCAAGCCCATGATGACACTCTTCAGGTCACTTGTTCTATCTAGGCTGGAATATTGCTGCACACTAACAGCACCTTTCAAGGCAGGTGAAATTGCCGACCTAGAAAATGTACAGAGAACTTTCACGGCGCGCATAACGGAGATAAAACACCTCAATTATTGGGAGCGCTTGAGGTTCCTAAACCTGTATTCCCTGGAACGCAGGAGGGAGAGATACATGATTATATACACCTGGAAAATCCTAGAGGGACTAGTACCGAACTTGCACACGAAAATCACTCACTACGAAAGCAAAAGACTTGGCAGACGATGCACCATCCCCCCAATGAAAAGCAGGGGTGTCACTAGCACATTAAGAGACCATACATTAAGTGTCAGGGGCCCGAGACTGTTCAACTGCCTCCCAGCACACATAAGGGGGATTACCAACAGACCCCTGGCAGTCTTCAAGCTGGCACTGGACAAGCACCTAAAGTCAGTTCCGGATCAGCCGGGCTGTGGCTCGTATGTTGGTTTGCATGCAGCCAGCAGCAACAGCCTGGTTGATCAGGCTCTGATCCACCAGGAGGCCTGGTCTCAGACCGGGCCGCGGGGGCGTTGACCCCCGGAACTCTCTCCAGGTAAACTCCAGGTAAACTCCAGGTAAACTCCAGGAGGAGATATTAGTTTAATTAGTTAGTTTGATGGAGGAGATGCTGGCAGAGGTTTAGGGTGGTGGAAGATAGCAGGGTGGCATATGTTCAGTGCCCCTATACACCAACAACATTGGAGAGTTACTTTCGTGTCTTTTTCTATTGCTTACTCGCTTAACCTACTTGCTACAGTCTTAATTCTACACTTGATCGCTGGCTGGCACTATAGCATTTATCGATACCTGCTTTAGTATCGTACATATCATAGAATCACCGAATCACTGCAGGAGGCACATTCTCCTCTCTATTCCTCCTCCACTTTGGTACTTTGCTTCGAGTTTTTTCTTGAATTTTATTGTGCTTCTTTCCTTCTTTACCACAGGGCTGGCACTAGAAGCTTTCTTTGGGCCCATGGTGGCTTATTTAGCAGTTACAAGCACTAAAAACAATGGAATAATACAAAATATATTGCATGAAAGTGTGGAATCATCCTCTCTGGCTTGTAAACAATGGCACACTGACTCTACATGGGCTCAGGCCGTGCAGACATGTTTGGGATGAATGTCCTTAACCGAGTTCTTGGGCATTAGCCGAGCCAATATTTTGACGCAAAAAGTGTCGCTATCCAATTTTGCCGTTAGCCGATGCTGCCATTACCCGAGGGTCCACTGTACTTTATCCAGGAAAGAACAGATAATCTGAGTGTAAAGTAGACCTCTCATAAACCTGATTTAGTATGTAATACATATGCAAGTCTTTGGGATGTATGAATGTGTGGACTGTATCCTGATCCACTTATCAGACTTTAGAAATATACTGAAATCGTTATACTAAATCTATTTCTACTTTTGTATGTATTTATGTGCCATCTTTGCCAAATCTTTGAACTATAAAATTATAGACAAGGTTTAAATTGGTTTTTAATACAGCCTCTCCTCTCTGTTCCTAAGACTTTGTTGGTAAGTGAATTTGTCGCTAAGTGAGGAGCATACTATAATGGTAGTGAGTTTGTGTCAACCATCTTTGATATTGTTTTAATGTCACCTTTGTACCATTTATAACATTTCTGCTATATTTTTAAATGTTTATACAGTAGTGTACACTATATTGTAATAAAATGAATAGAGGAAATAAGCTCTAATATACATTATTTTGGTATGCATACTGATCAGAGAGCCTGTCGTAAGTCCGAGTCATTGGTAAACGAGTATGTCGCTAAGTGAGGAGAGGCTGTGTATGTTAATATAGCTCTCAAACACATCAGGGAAAGGGAGAGTATTTGAACTGATTATCTCACAGCATTAGTAGTTTGAAAGGTTTTCCTCATGTTGTACAACAAGCGTGTCTTGTCATTATCTGCAGAGGGTTTCGGGGATCAGTGCCCCCATGGCCCAGTCTGTGACCAGGCCTTGTGGTAGATCAGGGCCTGATCCACCAGGCTGTTACTGTTATCTGCATGCAAACTAGTTATCTCTGGTTAACCTACATACTTGTTCAACACAGATGTTTTTGCCCTATCCATGAGGATGCACTGCAGTCCTATCCATAAGGATACACAGCCTAGCATCTCGACCTTTTCCTTTGTAGTGACCCTTTTGGGTTTAGCACTTACCTTGATTTTAATGATAATAAAATCATGGAATGGGTGAGGCCACTTGTTCACTGATTTGTTTACAACTGTGTTATTACAATTTTGTGAGTAATAAATTAATAATTCAGTACTAATATTCCTTTGTAGCACCTTATTACTACATTGTTGGCTCTTATTTTGAATTAAAGCAATTGCTAGCTTTCATAAACTGAAAGGTTCTATTTAATTTGCCCAGCACAATGTCCTGGCTAGAGTTGACACTGTTCTTAGGTGTCTATGGAAGCTCTCAATCTGATGAGTAACTCATTGATATTCTCAGTTATGTTTTCCCATATGACTTTGATCTTAACCATTTCAGGGTTCAAGCTCCCAATCTGAAATTTTTCCACAGGGTCTTAAGAATTTTCAAAAAATTGTTTATTTTCTTCTTATAAAATTGCAAAGAATCTTTTCTGAAGGTAATAAAACAAAAGGTACAAAATTTGATGGGAAATTGATGAAATTACACTCGCAATTTTGATGTGTCAGTGATATTTATGCATTGGCAATTTTGCCTTTTTTGATGCCTATTTTTGGCCAATTACATTGTTCCAGTTGACCAAATTCTTAGCTATTTTGCTATTATGCCTTCTAATTTATCAGTTGAGCATAAGAAACTGCCCCAATCATCTATTTCAACTACCCAATGAAGTGATCAGAAATTGGTAATTTGGCCAATTTCTGATCACACATTTCAAAATAGGGACCAGAATATGCAATGAAGACATTCCTAGCACTAAAATACATTTACTCTGTTCATTAGTTATGTTTCCAGGCTTTATAAATAAATTCCGTTTAGATTTTTTATTCACAGAGAATTTTTATTCACACTAAAAAATAGAATCTTTACTGTTATGCAATATTGTAATAATTTTATAAATAATATCACCCCATTCGTGAATGCATGTTAGACCCTCCAGTTGATGCATATTGGATGTGTGATGTGATTTGTTTATCCTGGAACATCGGCAAAAATCGAACATTTCTGCTACTTTGAGCTCAATTTCAAGCTGTTTTCAGTTCTAAAACCAATCAAGATCAACTCAATTTCTGTAATATATCTTCCATTCTTTCAAATGAGACCAAGAAACCTAGAATACAACCTTAACCCCTTCAGGGTCCAAGGCCAAAATCTGAAGTGGTGCTCCAGTGTCCAAGAAATTTTGAAAAAAAAAAAAAAAAATTACCTTTTTTTTTACAGAATTAAAGAGTATATTTTTGTTAAATGTTGATGAAGATAGGGAAGCTGTGATTTCGTGTATAGGGCAAGGAGGAATAACATCTTGTAGGAGTGAGGAAGAGCCAGTTGTGAGTGTGGGGGAAGTTCGTGAGGCAGTAGGTAAAATGAAAGGGGGTAAGGCAGCCGGGATTGATGGGATAAAGATAGAAATGTTAAAAGCAGGTGGGGATATAGTTTTGGAGTGGTTGGTGCAATTATTTAATAAATGTATGGAAGAGGGTAAGGTACCTAGGGATTGGCAGAGAGCATGCATAGTTCCTTTGTATAAAGGCAAAGGGGATAAAAGAGAGTGCAAAAATTATAGGGGGATAAGTCTGTTGAGTGTACCTGGTAAAGTGTATGGTAGAGTTATAATTGAAAGAATTAAGAGTAAGACGGAGAATAGGATAGCAGATGAACAAGGAGGCTTTAGGAAAGGTAGGGGGTGTGTGGACCAGGTGTTTACAGTGAAACATATAAGTGAACAGTATTTAGATAAGGCTAAAGAGGTCTTTGTGGCATTTATGGATTTGGAAAAGGCGTATGACAGGTGGATAGGGGGGCAATGTGGCAGATGTTGCAAGTGTATGGTGTAGGAGGTAGGTTACTGAAAGCAGTGAAGAGTTTTTACGAGGATAGTGAGGCTCAAGTTAGAGTATGTAGGAAAGAGGGAAATTTTTTCCCAGTAAAAGTAGGCCTTAGACAAGGATGTGTGATGTCACCGTGGTTGTTTAATATATTTATAGATGGGGTTGTAAGAGAAGTAAATGCGAGGGTCTTGGCAAGAGGCGTGGAGTTAAAAGATAAAGAATCACACACAAAGTGGGAGTTGTCACAGCTGCTCTTTGCTGATGACACTGTGCTCTTGGGAGATTCTGAAGAGAAGTTGCAGAGATTGGTGGATGAATTTGGTAGGGTGTGCAAAAGAAGAAAATTAAAGGTGAATACAGGAAAGAGTAAGGTTATGAGGATAACAAAAAGATTAGGTGATGAAAGATTGAATATCAGATTGGAGGGAGAGAGTATGGAGGAGGTGAACGTATTCAGATATTTGGGAGTGGACGTGTCAGCGGATGGGTCTATGAAAGATGAGGTGAATCATAGAATTGATGAGGGAAAAAGAGTGAGTGGTGCACTTAGGAGTCTGTGGAGACAAAGAACTTTGTCCTTGGAGGCAAAGAGGGGAATGTAATGAGAGTATAGTTTTACCAACGCTCTTATATGGGTGTGAAGCGTGGGTGATGAATGTTGCAGCGAGGAGAAGGCTGGAGGCAGTGGAGATGTCATGTCTGAGGGCAATGTGTGGTGTGAATATAATGCAGAGAATTCGTAGTTTGGAAGTTAGGAGGAGGTGCGGGATTACCAAAACTGTTGTCCAGAGGGCTGAGGAAGGGTTGTTGAGGTGGTTCGGACATGTAGAGAGAATGGAGCGAAACAGAATGACTTCAAGAGTGTATCAGTCTGTAGTGGAAGGAAGGCGGGGTAGGGGTCGGCCTAGGAAGGGTTGGAGGGAGGGGGTAAAGGAGGTTTTGTGTGCGAGGGGCTTGGACTTCCAGCAGGCATGCGTGAGCGTGTTTGATAGGAGTGAATGGAGACAAATGGTTTTTAATACTTGACGTGCTGTTGGAGTGTGAGCAAAGTAACATTTATGAAGGGATTCAGGGAAACCGGCAGGCCGGACTTGAGTCCTGGAGATGGGAAGTACAGTGCCTGCACTCTGAAGGAGGGGTGTTAATGTTGCAGTTTAAAAACTGTAGTGTAAAGCACCCTTCTGGCAAGACAGTGATGGAGTGAATGATGGTGAAAGTTTTTCTTTTTCGGGCCACCCTGCCTTGGTGGGAATCGGCCGGTGTGATAATAAAAAAAAAATAATATTTTTGTGAAGGTAATAAGACAAAAAAAAAATTCTGATCGGTACTTACCGAGATACAACAGCGGGAAGTTGACCCAGAATGACCGGGTGGCGGCAACATCAGTGACTTCCACAAAATCCCATTTTTTATTTTACATTTTTTATACTTTTTTCTTTTCTTTTCTAATTTTTTTTTCTTTTTCTAATAACATTTGTGGCCTGTGAGACCAGTATAATGTATATTGTATAAGTGTACACTCATTGTATTCAACACAATAACTGCACTAATTTGTTTATCATTTACGAGTTTATTGTAAACAAAATGATGAAAATATTAGTGTGGTTATTGTGTTGAATACAATGGTACCATATAGTACCATATGGTACAATGGTACCATAGGGTGCAATTGTACCATATGGTACAATGGCACCATATGATACAATGGTACCATATGGTACAATATGGTATAATGGCACATGATACAATGGTACCATATGATACAGTGGTACCATATGATACAATGGTACCATATGGTGCAATGGTACCTTATGGTACCATATGGTGTAATGGTACCATATGATTCAATGGTACCATATGGTATATTGTACCATACAGTACAATGATACCATATGGTTCATTGTACCATATGGTACTGTTGTACAGTGGACCCCCGGTTAACGATATTTTTTCACTCCAGAAGTATGTTCAGGTGCCAGTACTGACCGAATTTATTCCCATAAGGAATATTGTGAAGTAGATTAGTCCATTTCAGACCCCCAAACATACACGTACAAACGCACTTACATAAATACACTTACATAATTGGTCACATTCGGAGGTGATCGTTATGCGGGGGTCCACTGTATTCAACACAATAAACACACTAATATTTTCATTATTATTTTGTTTACAATAGTTGTTTACAACAAAAATATGCAAAAATGTTGCATATTAGTAATGTTCTATTATATATTTACAAGTGTACAGGAACTTGAAGTGTTCCTTGATGTGGATGACAAAGCACTTTGTTGCGGAGTCAGTAGCTAGCTTGCGTCGCCACTCACTCAGTCTTGGCTGGTGTCTCATGCCACCAACACCTATTGACCATATGGTACACGGTATCATATGTTACAGGGTACCATATAGTACATTGTACTATATGGTATAGGGTACCATGCAGTACAGGATAACATATGGTGCAGGGTACCATATGGCACAGGGTACCATATGGCACAGGTGTCATGAGGGTTCAAAAGGAGATATAATGGTTGAAGATAAACACACTTGTGGATGGTAACACTATATATTGTCAGACTGTGGTAAGGGAAGGGGCCCAGCCTGCCTGTTACTGCCTGGTGTAGGTCTCCGCGTGGACTGAGAGCGAGGTAGCGGGTCCCACTCACTCATGCCACATCCCGTGATGTCATACAGTCACTAGGCCTAATAGGGATCTTCTATATAAACACATGGATCTTACTATGATACTCAGCTAAGCTATACAACACATGTAAGGGGGATCAGCAGCTATGCTGACAGCTCGGTCATGTTACGTATGTCGTCTCGACATACACTATACTATACTATAGGCTGAACAGGCAGGTGGTTCTGGGCTGATTCTATACAATAACAAAGACATTTAGAACTAATGGATGGTATCATAATGGATGTTAACATAATGAGTTTTAACGTAATGCATTACAAATTATAAGAACAAATCATGGTATAATATAGGATGGAATTGATCGATCGATCTGTATTCATGCACTCTACGGATTCTGAGGAAGAATAAATATATATACAAGGTGAAATTAACAGCAAAAGCAAATCTGGTGCACACAGATCATTACTGTTAAATTCTCAGAATACTGAGGGAACGTGAACACGAAAATTTTTTTTTTGAAAAACTGATCAGTTAATAACAGAACACACAGTTGACAATTTCATTCATCTCGGACATCTAATTATACAGACTATGTACATTTAAACCCAATTCTGCGAGGGTAAGATTTACATGTGCAG